CCCCCCCCCCAACCCAAAGCGTTTGAACTAGAACTTATTCAAAGGTTCTCAAAGCATCATACTTCAGTATTACCAGCCTTAATTTAATCTGTTTGAGCTTTGATTAAATTAACAGCACGCCTGCATGACGGAAAACGCTTGGCTCTCGGCGGTAAATGCATGAGTGCAAAGACTGCAGGGAATTTCATAGCTGGAGGAAATATATATCAGCTTAACACATTGATCCATGAAGACTGATACCTCCGAAAAGGTCAATAGCAGAAAAAAGTAAAAATTCTTGGTGTCAGTTAGCTTTAATAAAAGTCTTTCAGTCCATTATCAGAACTCCAAGGGGTTTCCCAATACTAAACAGCATGCGCTGGTAAGCAGAAAGAATTTTATTGAAAGCTGATTAACGCTCCTCCTCCACAGCCGCTTTCAGTGTCGTCACGCAACACTTTCTCGCCTGAGTAGAAAGCGGATGTGGGGTAGACTAGATCAACGCATGCATACTGCTTCAGACAGGAAATATTACGTCAAGTGGAAACCAAGCTGTTATTACGTATCGAACGATGTTTGTCAAATCCTGCCAACCTTGACATTATTATATTTTTTTWAAATTAACTATGCATATATAAATTTGGTTGAATCTTATTTTCAATTTTGAATTCCCAAAATCATATTTTGTTCATCTGTGCCAGGTTTCCATTGGACTACTTCGACGATGTGGCGACCATATTGAATCGTAATGCATTATGGGTCGTGTAGGGGGCAAACAAAGCTTCGTTACAGTGAAGTCGATTATCATTAACAACTCATCACGAGAGAATACGAAAAAAAGATGTAAGGCGGCAGATGGAATGATCACCTTTACCCATAAAAGAAACTGACAAACACACGAAAATCTATGTATTTTGCGTCATCTTTGATTGGYTTTGCCCACTGGTAGTCTATTAGTCGATCAAGTAGTCTATTGGACACTTTAAAAACGAGCAAAGACTGCGGCATACAAGTTTTGAATAATCTTAATCTCATTGTATCAGGAGAAAACTTGGATCATAAAAAGACCAAAAGCTTTTTTCCCAAAAAAACTTTTGCCATTTGAAAAAGCATCTCAAGATTAGTAATCCTGGCAAACTTGGACACGATTGAGTGAAAAGAACCAGAATTATCCATCCATCCATCCATCCATCCATCCATCCGTCCATCCGTCCGTCCGTCCGTCCGTCCGTCCGTCCGTCCGTCCGTCCGTCCGTCCGTCCGTCCTTAGTTTCTTCCTTCCATCCATCCATCCATCGTTCGTTCGTTTATTCGTTCGTTTTTTTTTATTCACTTATTCCTGATCCTTTTTTATCTTTTTATTTTTTCATTCTTCATTCTTTATTTTCTTTTTCATTTTTTCATTTTTTCTTTTTTCTTTTTTCCTTTTTTTCGCGTCTTTCAGTTGCACCAAAAGAGTGGGACTGGGAAGCGGCGGGCTTCCTGTGTTATCCTTACTTGGATCACGTTGTAAGAATGTCAGCGGATGTTCTCTTCAAACCAAAATGGCGGCTAACATGGTGAACAGAGTAGTAATGCCAGGAGACATATTAGGCAGTATACAAGACATCCAACATCAATCTGAGAATAAAAATACCAAGCCAAGACTAGGACCCGGCTTAAGACAAGAAAAAGATATTGTTATTGCTTTTAAATCAGGCGTTCTCAGGCATCGCAGTCCTGCAACTTTCTGGATTGACACGAATCAAAAACGAGTAAGATGAGCTTAGAATGCACGTGTTTTTTGATCATATTTAAATTCCCTATTTATAATCACTTATGTTTATATTTGGTAGTACATTCCAGTAAAGGAAGAAAGGGTCATTGGTGTCGTGTTAAACAAAGCTGGAGATAATTTTAAAGTGGACATTGGTACGAGTATTTCTGCATCGCTGTCGTCTCTGGCCTTTGAAGGAGCAACGAAAAAAAATCGACCAAATCTACAGGTTTGTTTGATTATTTTTTTAAAGAGTTTCATAAATATGATCTGCCCTAGTTTTGGCTTTCCTTAGAATCTTAATTGAAATTTTGGTGAAAGGCTAATTGGTGGTGGATTTGGTGGCTAGCAAACCCCCATGTTTGTCTCATTTATGGCAGCTAAATTTAATCAAAGGTAACCCATGGTAAGCTCGTGAAGCTTTTTGAGTACCAATGAACTAAGATGATAACAAATGACATTTCGTGACTCATTTCATTGAGGGTATTGTGACCCAAGTAAGGTGATAGTCGAAGTTTGTTTTGTGCAAACAAACTGTCTTTATCAATAAATTAATGGCTTCTAATTGGCTACAATCCTTTCTTTTCCGATTTCTGGTTACGAATTTTTTCTACAATTCAGATTATCTGGACCAAGTCTAATCGATCCAATATATGACAAACCAGGCTGTTTTCGGATTCTTCTTCTAACGTGATGATAAATAGGACAATCTCATATCTCAAGGTCTAATAAAAAGAGCATAAGTAAACTAAGAATACTCAAAATATGCTGCTGATTACATGTGATTATGAAGTGGTCGAAAATCCAAAATGGCTTCCTCTGCAAGCAGCGTGCGTGGATTCTTCCAGTGACGTCACTTGGCGAATACAATGGATTCCATGGTTACGGGAATTACCCAAAATGATTGGCTGAGAAGCGTTATCCGAAAAATGCGAAATCCAGCCACTCTAATAGCTATTCACAAGCTGAAAACTAAACAGTCAAGTTTTTTGTATTCAGCTAAAAACCCTTTGCCTGATTGGGTACTGTAGCAATGTTTGCACCATAGGGGAGGGGTAGGGGGAATGCACCATTTTGCAACCAATTCGCATACGCATTTCATGTTTTCCACACTATCCACAGGAATCACTTAATCAAATAAAATTTCAGCTCCAAGATGTAAGATAGTAATTTGTCATCATATGTCCAAAGGAAAAACTATCAATTAAATGAGAAATACCAATTGAGAAGTCGTTCACTTGCAAAAATGGAAGAAAGAAAAATAGATAATGGGTTTTTAGTCAACTTTTTTCACTCCCCTGCTCCTCACAGTCTAAATTACATGTTTGATTACATAAATCCTTTATTAAGATGTTTACCTATAATAAATATCCTCTATATTTTTTATAGATTGGAGACATAGTATATGCGAGACTTGCAGTTGCAAATAAAGACATGGAACCAGAGTTAGACTGCACAGATGGTAGTGGACACAGCACAGGCCTTGGACCATTAAATGGAGGATTTATGTTTACATGTTCTCTTGGTCTATCCAGAAAGTAAGCATTTGATAAACCACTCATTTTTTTCCATAGGGGGGTATTGGGTCACTTAAAATGTTTGCCTTTCTCTTCTCTAGGGGAATCTTAATTAAGAGAAGTGTGGAGAATTTAGATCAGGAATTAGATTTTGCATTACTTTTTTAGGGAGGAGCAGAGGTTTAAATTGAAAAAAAAAATCAAGAGGGATTTAAAATAAAATAGAAGTTTTGCCAACAACTTCCCCTCCAAAAAAATAAATTTAAATGGTATATATAAGGTGCTTGTCTACAGACTATCATTACTATTCTTTCAAAAATTCAGGAATATCTAATGAGCATTTAGATCTATCAGGTCCTTCAAATCCATCACGTGCATGGATCTTTATACTCGGTAAAAACTCAACTCCACATTTTTTTTTTCTATTTTTGAAGTTGTTCAATAAACTCACAAATTGTGCTTTATCAGGTCTTAAACCACTCCGCTATGCCTCGTGGTTTTCAATCTGATAAAACACTCCTTGTTTATTAATCAGTACTTGAATGTATTACTGAACTGGGTGCAGAAATCTGTGTTTATTTTATTGAACTTTCTTTCCCGAATCAGTTTCAATGTCCACGAAACAATGTCTACAATGCTTTTCGCTGTTGTATCAAAGCGTGGGACAACCACAACAGAGCTAGGCTCCAAACTAGGTGAAAGCCCAAAGATCCCATTAGAATTTAGAAATTGATTTTTGAGGAGGGAGGAAAACCAGAGAACCCAGAAAACCCTTGAAGCACAGGAGAGAACCAACAAACAACTCTACTCACATACAACATCGAGATCGGTAGGACTCAAACTCAGGCAGCACATGCCACTGGTGCTTCCCCAAATGTCCTCAAAACAAGATTAGACTCAATTATAATAAAATGCATTAAATAAATGTATGAAGACATCAAGTTCAGCTTCCACTTGGAGCCATTGTTCTGTGGTCACTCAAGCAAATTTGGGAAAGTCTATTCAACCTTCCTCTTTTTATCTTTTAGGTTGTTAAGCAAGGACTTTACTCTACTTCCACTCATTGGGAAATATTTCCCATTTGAATGTACTGTGGGCTCTAATGGTAGAGTCTGGATAAATGCAAAAACATTAGCCCACGTAATTGCAATTTCAAATGCCATCACTAATGCTGAGTATATGACAGACAAGCAGATACATACAATGGTGAGACAGCTTGTCGAAGGGATCATGTAATGAAGAAGAAAATCCAAATATTGAGTGCATTATGCACTTACTTAGGTCTGCTGTTTTTCTTAAGACACCAACATTTTATCTGACCAAGAGTTCTAGATACAGTACACCCAAAGCCAAAGCCAGTCTTGGAATCAGATGCAACGAAACAATCCGTTTTACCAATAGGGTTTTGAACCAACACGTGACAGAAGCCATGTTACATGTAGATGGCAGCAAGAATGGGTAATAGGCCCTTTGCAGTTAACGGTCACGTGTCTGTACTGGACTGCAAAATKTTTGTTTTTATATTAAATTGGTGATTCTTTTTAGCTACTTGTAAAGAACTGAATGAAAACATGTGTATCCAGTGTGTTACGAAATGCACTTTTATTACGATCTCTCGAAACTGGTTRTAGAAAGTTTGTTTGCAGTCCAGTAAATTTCACCCATGGGAATCAAGATGTTCATTCATTTGCTCTCAGTGAATTAATCAGCACGTGATTGCTTAGCTGCAAAGGGCCTATTCTATCAATGTTTTCATACATCTTGTTAGTAATTGATTTCCACCATGAAGTCAGACTTGGGTGACTTTGGTTCTAATTAATGACTGAGAAAAATTTGAACAATGTTGACTATGGTAGTGAAAACAAGTTTCAGATTACTACAGGCAGTAATTGTCCAAAAGGGAAAGACAGTGGATTAAGTCTGTAATTAATAAAAAAATGTGCAAGGGATTTTGTTGGTTCACGATAGTTTTGCCTACKCATTGGTTCGCCTACTGAAGTTCGCCTACGTATAAGTTTTGCCTACTGAAGTTCGCCTACGTATCAAATGCATTGTAAAACCTATCTATGAAGGGTGAGACAATAAATATACTGTAAAGAATACAGACCAACTGCAGTAGGTGAACCAATGAGTAGGTGAAACAATCGGATACATGTACCATGTTGGTCAATGGTAGAAAATGGCATGATGATGCAAAAGGCATATTCCATGAAAATAGCAGGAGCATTATGGGGTAATTAAATATATAAATATGCAATACTTTCGTAAGTGGTCATTAATACCAAAGCAGACATGTAGTCATGATAATGCTAACATTTGCTATAGCGAGAATTTGCAGTCACAGATAATATTCCTCRTGTAAAACATGTCATTATCTTCTTTTAATTGATCTTCATAAACGAGTTCAAAAATAAATTACATCAATAAAATAGTAATCATTCTGGAATATATTAACTTTTGCACACCAAACACTGTTAGTATATATTCACACATTATAAAATAACTATTATGAATCTTGCGTTCTGATTGGTTGGGAGCATGTGCTTTATGAGAGCACACAGCACACACCATCATGCTACTTGTTCTGCCAACCCCTGCGTGCTTTATAACTGCACACAGCACAAGCRTGCATTCTCTATTCCTTGGAAAAAATGGAAAAAATGAAAACAAATGGAAAAAATGATGCACGTTGGCATCTGGCCATGGGGAAACTCGAAAAAATCTCACAGGCTAAATTAAAGTGCCTATAACACCAAATTCAATATTTTCAGTATTGATTCTACATAAAGTGAATAGTTGAATGGTAAAATATTTTCCTATGATTTGAGTTGTGCACCTTGGAGATATCTAGGTTTATACTTCCAATATGCTAATTAGTGTGATGCCATTATAGGCATTATTAAATATACAAAACTGTTCTGGGGCAGACATCACACTTATCATATTGGAAGTATAAAATGTGATATCTTCAAGATACATCACTCAAATCATTTGAAAATATTTTACCATTCAAATATTCACTTTACGTAGAATCATTACTGAAAACATTGACTTTTAACCCGACAACGTTTTTTTTTTAATTAGGCGTATGTGTAATTGTGTGTTTAAGCGAATCTATAAACTTCCAAGCATTTTTCCCCTTCTGATTCTCAGCTTGAAAGAATGGCTAAATGCAAATATTCTTGTAAATGTATTAGATCTGCTGGCTATTCCTAGTCTTGATTTGGTCACTAAGCCCATGGGCATGTAATAAATTAGCACCTGCATAGCAAACCTCTTTGAAGTTGGCTCCTTCAAAAAGGAAAGGACTTTGTCCATAATTGCAGCGTATTCTAGAGCATGATATATAAGGCAATAAGTTATGGATTTCCAAAGGTCTATCTGAAGGGAAGGGATAATATTGGCCAGTTCCAACACCATCGAGAGTAAAGATCACGACACCTGCCGGCCACATGATGCCACAACCAACAACCTCTGGACATTTGTAGCACTCTTGACTCGATGGGGAATGAACAGATGTCTTTGGCAGATACAACTGGCCATCGTATAAGTCACAATAGATCTTGTCTCCTGTGTTAGGGTTGAAAAATCCCATTTGCCTGGCTTTGGAAGGAGCATTTTTTAAGTCTGCTTCAAAGTACAGACAAGGGAAGGAAGGTGTATCTGCAAGAAGAAAATACAAACTCTGTCTACTTTTTGCGAATTGACTTTGACTTTTTTGATTTGATAGCATCACAAAGACTTTTATAGGAAATGATGAAAATACATAAATTCAAATTATAGACTCGTTATAAGAGATTAATAACTGCAAAGAATGAGATGTTCCTCATAGTACTAGGTCACTCAAAATTGATGATTCTTTCAAAAGTATTGAGAAATGATTTCAGTGGTTAATTGGAAAGCAAAATTGCGAGGCTCTTTTCAAAATTGGCTCAAGGAAAACGAAACCAAATGTGCTAAAGTTATTTAATTCCATAAATCAAAAATATATCAATGTCTTTGCAAAACATCATCTTGATCGATACAACGACGTTGGATTGTTGGCACAAGTGGCAGGGGGGAAAAGACTATTTTGATTTTGATTGAGTTTTTCTACTCCTGCCATGGGAGATAGCTGCAGCTATGTGATTGTAAAAAAAATGTTTCTGTGTAAAAAAAAAAGGTTGGTGAAGGTTTTGTTGCATATTAAAAGATGTAGACTAAGCCCGAACAGCACTATGGGTGATGTGAATACAATCATAAATAAAGTCTTATTATTACGATTATGATTATGATTTTTTTAATCATCATCATCATCATCATTATTATTATTATTATCATTATTATTAATCAGCAAAAAAAAACACAAAGATATGAAATTTTTCTAAACTTTGTCTACTCGTTTTTACCAGCATAATTCTTCTGTGCTGGCATTATTTACATATTAATGGTTATAATACATGTCAAGCTTTGCAAGCTGCATGCAGCAAAACCTTTACCAAGAGTTTTTGAAATAGCTGCGTATTTCTTAAGATGTTTCAAGGCCACACTATCCACACTTTCTCTACTAAGATTTTGAAACAGTGAGAGATCTTACCATTGTCTGCATTAAGAGATTCACTTGGAGAAAATTGGAACCACGAAGAACTGCCTGCTACACTAGTTGCTTCTTCCCAAGACGTCTGAGAGGTTGGAGTCACAGGTACTTGAAGTTTGACAGGTATGTGCTTCTTCTTCCCTACAGCATGGGTGGACACACTGTTCATCCATTCAGTTTGGTGGTTCTCGGGTTCTGAGTCATTACCTGAAGTAGGTGAAATACCTGGTAATTCCTCACAGGAGGAAGGTGTTGCCTGGACAGTTGGTAATATTTCTTCTTGCGCTGAAATCACAGGGTTTTCTTCGGGTGTAGGGGAATGTGGCTCAATGGTAAACTGCGAAGATTCAACATGTTCCGCTGGCGACTGGACTGAGTCTGGACATTAAAACATAAAGACAAATTTTAACTTGGTGAATACTCTCCCGAGTACATACAAATCTGCATGAACCCCAGAAGAATCCTTAACAAGTTACTACTACCAATGGTACAGTCAATCGGCACCCCTTTGATTCTAAAGCTGGTGGCTACCACAGCTATACCAATGTCTAAATTTTGACGTGTAGTCGTAGCCAAGTAAAGTGATTTGTTCTATCAAGACTTTGATTTATACGTTACAAGTAACCCATTCCAAAATGTAGCCGCGAAGCCAAAGTAAAGTAATTCATTTTATAAAGACTATGATTCATACGTTAAGAGTAAGGCAAAGGTAACCCATTTATTAACTTTGACAYGGTCGTAATATGGCATGGGCAAGGGATACGCCAAACCAATCACATTGCTCGAGAATTTTCTATTCATTTAATCAATACCCGGAACACGACATAAACACGGCGTGGACAAGGTCACACCAAGGTCAAGGCGCTGTCAGACCAATCACAATGCGCGGGGAAAAGAATAAGCCAATCAAAATTCTAAAAAGAGCATCACGGTCACGGAACGGCACGCTTACGGCACTGACCTTTTCACAGGCATACGAAAACTGTTCTAAAGTGATTCGTTCTATCAAGACTGATTTATACATTAGGAGTAAGGCACAGCTAACCCATTTCTTTTAGTTTTGACGCTTAGCCATTTCCAAGTGAAAGGTTAACACAGGTAACCCATTTTTTTTATTTGTAGCTACTTTTATTTTCACTCGTTTTCTTTGGAAGGTATTCTATAGTTACTCCTTTGACCTACCATGAACACTGGAATTCTTGGTAGACACGTCTTCACTTTGGTATCGATCCTCTTCTGCAATATTCTCAAAGCTTTCTTTCAGCGGTGCCCAACATGAAGCCATGCGCACTGTGGGCTTCTTTTTAACAACATGGACAATTGCAACGTAGCCCTCTGGCGGTTCGTATCTAAAATAATAAAAATAAATAAATAAATAAATAAATAAATAAATAATAAATAGTAATAAAATGTCGATTTGCCGCCTTTGTATTAGACATGGTAGGTCGTCCAGGTTTCAATTAGCTGCGTAATTTCCCATTCCAGACCACGTGTCATTTCCTTGAAAAAATGCGCAACTGTTAAACAAAGAAATGATACTCTATGGAATAACACGTGGTCTTAAATCGGAAAACATTACGCCCAATTCAAAGAGGTCTATAAAGGCTTTGCACCATCACGTTGTGACAGCTCTAACAGGAAGCCGATACAAAATTCCCCTTCACAGCTCCCTGCGCCATCTTGAAAGGTAGCTGTGCGTTTGCATTGAAGCAAGACGAACGGTGAGCTTGCAATGATAGAGACGTAAATAATTGTCGTAGGTGATAGAAAAGATCTCTATCATTGCAAGCTCACCGTTCATCTCGCTTCAATGCAAACGCACGGCTACCTTTCAAGATGGCGCAGGGAACTGTGAATGGGACTTTTGAATTAGGTCAAATTTGATTTACGTGAAAAAAAATCCAGTTTCTCTGGCGAAAAAAATACTATTGTCGTGCCTCCTATCATGGTTACTATCACGTGATGGTGCAAAGCTTCTATTGTTTTAGAATATTTTTGACTTACTTGAAAGGCTTATTGCCAAAGTTAAATACGCAGTGCTGGTCCATCGCTAGCGAAGCAGCTGGGTACCAATTGAAGTAGGAATTCAAACTACTAAACGCCACGTCCTGATCAACACCATTTATCCAGAAAGATACCTCTCCATCCCAGGAAAATAGACAACTGAGGACATCACCATATTGCCATTCTTTGCCGTAATCGTTATTCTGATGTTCACTCGGAGGGCCACTCCACACCTTATCATTATATCAGATAATGCAAAAGTTTATTAGCATCGAATATTATTACCAGTTAGATGAGGCAGTAAGCCGTGTGGGATGGGCTCGGATATCAAGTAAGATACGCATGTTCTTATTTGATATCCGAGTCCATCCCACACGGCTTACTGCCTCATCTATCTAGTACTACTTTTTCGTGGGATTGCCAGCTCACTAGATACACTGTGCTGACGAGGCCCAATACAGGCCGAAACAGCTGTCCACGGTTTCTAGTTGAGCTGGTTCGTTTTTGACGCGACTTGAAGTTGTGAAAGGCTTGTATGGCACTCTTCTTCAGTCGTTTCATCTAAGGGTCGTAATTTACCTTTTACGCATGTTCTTATTATTACCAGTGTTAGGCACCTCTCCCTCGAGATCCTATTCACTGGCTATACCAACGGTGACCTCAAGGTTTATCCTCGAAGTATGTTGGCAAGTATACTTAAAGACTATCGATTTTAATTTATCAATACTCATTTTAATTTTTATTTGAAGTCACTAACATGTAGCAACTCTAATGGAAAAGTTCAACAAAGTGATAGACTCTGGCCTGTCAGTTGGACATAAATTGTTCCCATTTCAGGCTCTTACTCCACGTTTCATCCACATGCATCGACATGCATCATGGGCTATTGACTGGTAGACCATTCAGGCTGCAGGTCTAATTGTCAAATATCATTTGATTCCCTTGTAATTACTGACCATCAAGAAAGAGTGGGGGGTGGGTGGGGGTATCAAGATTAGCCAAGGGATAATTACCTTGCAGCGAGCTCCATCGAAGGCACATGAACTGTTGTCATCGCCAACACCTACGCCTTTCTCAGGACCATAGCGACACTCTTCAGTCTGCCATCCTTAAAACAATTATAGATTGGTCTCTTGTGAATACATTTTGGTGATCAAAATGCTATAGCTACAACTAATTCTAATAAGTAAATAACTGAATAAATGGTATGGTTTTGGCTCTGGTATAAAATACTGATTCTATTATTATTTATTTATTTTTGGTTGCACCTTGAGGAGCAGGTTTTCATTTGTTATTCGCTAATTTTTTATATTAGGTATAATACTTTCCTTGGCCCTTTGTTTGTTTGTTTGTTGTTAGGGTTTGTGCTTTGCTTTGTTTTTGTTTTGT